CAGATTTCCCAGGCCAAGGTTACATTCCTAGGACTCTGAATCTCTCAGGGAAAAAGGAGAACTGCTCCAAGACAGAAAAGAAGCTACTGGTGCAATCTTGCCTCCCTGGTCCTGGAGGCACCTCCAAGAATTCCTGGGAATGGCAGGTTTTTTCAGAATCTAGATTCCCGACTTTGGGCTAATAGCCAAACCTTTACATAAAGCAACTGAAGGAAAAATTCATAGCCATTTATTTGGACCGATAAACAACAAAAATCCTTCCAGAAAATTAAAGAAAAACTCATATCAGCCCCAGCCCTGGGGCTCCCGAATCTAGCAAAACTCTTTGAACTGTTCATGCATGAAAGTCAAGGAATAGCTGCAGGTGTCCTAACCCAAAAATTGGGGGACTGGCGACTACATGCAGCTTGGAGACCACAATCCAGTGGAAAGTCTGAAAGAATGAACAAAACACTTAAAAGACACATAGCAAAGGTGTGTCAAGAAGCAAAATTAAATGGATACTGGCTCTCCTTATAGCCTTGCTTAGGGTTAGGGCAGCTCCCAGAAGCAGTCTTAAATTAAGCCCTTTTGAGCTAGTGCATGGAAAGCCCCTCCTGAAAAATCATGGGCTAATGAACAGTGACAAATTGAGTGTAAAAGGTGGCAATGTCATACAAGAGTATTTGCATTCTTTGTCTGTTGTCCTTTATTCTCTCTACAGGGACAACCTTGCCAGTCAAGAACATCCTCCTGAGGTGATGGTCCACCCATTTCTACCTAGAGATTTGGTCCTGCTGCACAGCTGGAAAGACGAGCCACTCCGGCCCAAGCAGAAAGAATCCTCTGAGGTGCTTCTCATCACCCATACGGCGGTCAAACTAAAAGGAGCCAAGCCCTGGGTTCACCACACCCGGCTAAAGACTGCAGCCGCTCCAGACTTCGATTCACCAACAACTTAAACCGTGAGCCCTTACAGGACCTAAAATTTCTGTTCAAAAAGCTATGAAGTCCTTTTCGTTTTTGTCCTTGTTCCTACCCCTAGCCCAAACCTGGCATAGTAATGCTTTTGTCAAATTAGCCCAATTAGTAGTAAGTGGGACCAACATGACTAAATGTTAGATTTGTCAATACATCCGAAAGCTATTTGCCTTCGTGTTCCTAACCAAGAGAGGCCAAATATCTTTGACTGGCTCACCTCCTGGTTACCTAACTATAATTGGCTAAAGCATTTGTTTACTATTTTTATTTTCTTTAATTGTAACAGGAATTTTTGTCTGCTGTTCTGTATAATACTTTTTGTCTATCTCAGTGCAAGCTAAAAAAAAAAAGCATAGAAGCTTATGTTAAATACAATCCCCTACACTGAGAAGCCATTGCCCAATTTAGAAGGTGCTCTCCACAACCAAGAGAATATAGCTTATCACTATATCCCCAAAGAGGAGGGATTGATAGCAAGTGCAACCGCTCAGCTACTATCAAGCAAGACCTGCTCCTCCTGCCCATTATCATCAGGATCTTGAGCACTGCCTGTAACCCAGCTTCTGCCTTAAATCAGCCAAAACCAGTCAAAATCAGTTTACTAGCCCCAAAAGTGTCCTAAAGTAACCTAAGCCTCATTAAGACCTAACTGAATATTAAAATCTCCACCCAGGGTGGGACTTATCTGCCATTTTCTGTACATACTAAGGGAAAAAAATGCAATTTGTCTTACAGCGTCTGCTGATAACCTATGTAGTCCATGATGTTCGTATAATGCGTACTTCCTTGTGAAGGACAGCAGAAATGGCTCTGCCTCCCTTTGTTGGGGGAGCTTGATTTGAGGTATACACCTCCTTGCTCCTTGCCTGCCTGCTTGCAATAAATGCTCTTCCTCCCTCCTCACCTCAGTGTGTCTTTATTGATGAGAAGCCGCAGGACCTGCTTGGGTAACTTGATGTTTCTGTCACAAAATACTCATACCACTACACATATCAAATTCCATATATACATATTTTTGATTCAGAACTCTATTGTTTCACTGATGTATTTATCCATTACATTAACAGTTACACATTTAAAAATTTCTATAGTTCTAAATATGTTCTGATGGCTGATAATGTTACTTTTCTAAAAGGATTGTACAATCACCTTATTAATTCCCCAACTCTTGTCTTGTAGAAATTCCATTAAATTTATAAGTTAATTTCGGGAGAACTGAGATCTTTAAAAATTGAGTATCAATTATTTTCCAGATATCCTCTTACGCCTTCAGTAAAGTTTTATGGTCTTGTACATTCCTTAACAGATTTATCCCAAGATATTCTCTGCTATTTGTTGCTCTTGCGAATGGAATCTCCCCTCCCCGCTCCCCCATCCCCCCACCCCCGTTTGTTTGTTTGTTTTGAGGCCATGGTGGGGCAGTGGTTAAGTGCTTGGCTGTTAACCAAAAGGTCGCAGTTCAAACCCACCAGTCACTCCTCGGGAGAACGACGTGGCAGTCTACTTCTGTAAAGATTACAGCCTTAGAAACCCTATGGGTCAGTTCTACTCTATCCTGTAGGGTCTGTATGAGTCGGAATCCACTCGAAGGCAGTGAGTTATTGCTGATAAAGTCCCCTTTATCAAGTGAAGGGAATTTTCTATTATTCTTGTTTTGCTAAGTTTTTTTTTTTTTCCTTTCTCTTTTTAAGCAGGTATGAACAATGAATATTAAATATTTTATTTTATTTCAATTTATTTTATTTTATTTTGATCATGAGTCATCAATCTTTTTTCTAAAAGGGCCAGATAATAAATATTTTAGACTTGAGGGCTGTTTGGTATCCATTGCAACTACTCAACTCTGCCATTGCAGTGTAGAAGCAACTGTAGACAACATGCAAACAAATGAGTTTTGCTGTGTTCCAATAAACTTTACTTACACAAACAGGTTTGGCCCATGGGCCTTAGTTTGATGACCCCTGATTAAGATTATCATATGATTTGTTCTCCCCTAACTTGTTAGTGAAATATGTTACTGGATTTTCTAATATTGAACCATCTTTACTTTTCTGGGCTAAATTCTACTTGGAAATGATTTTTTTAATGCACTGCCGAATTTAACTTGTTAAAATTTTTAGAAGTTTTACATATATATCCGTAAGTAAGATTGGCCAATAGTTCTCTGACATTTTATCTCTGTGCAGTTCAGTGTTATTTTAGTCTCAAAAAATGAGTTGAATAGCTTTTCATCTTTTCCTGAGTCCTGGAAAAATTCTTATCACATGTTATCTTAGTTATCTAGTGCTGCTATAACAGAAATACCACAAGTGGGTGACTTTAATAAACAGAAATTTATTTTCTCACAGTTTCGGAGGCTAGAAGTCCAACTTCAAGGAGCCGGCTCTAGGGGAAGTCTTTCTCTCTCTTATCAGCTCTAGGAGAAGGTCCTTATCTCTTTGAGCGTCTGCTCCTGGGCAGTCTTCATGTGGCTTAGCATCTCTCTTCCCCTACCTCTGCTTCTTTTGCTTGCTTGCTTAATCTGCTCTTTTATATCTCAGAAGAGATTGACTTAAAACACACCCTACACTAATACTGCCTCATGAACATAACAAAGAAAACCCATGCCCAAATGGGATTACAACTACAGGTATAGGGGTTAGGATTTAAGATGGGTATTTTGGGGGGACACAATTCAATCCATAACACATGGGAATTACGTGTTCTTTAAAGTTTAGTAGAACCATTTTTTGATGCAATCCCCCATCCCCCAAATTTCTGAGTGGGTGATTTTTTACTTGGTTGATTTTGAGAAGTTTGCCTATCCTTTATAAGAAGTTTCTAATTTTATTATATTTGAATTTATTCATATTTTCTTTTTAACCTAAAACATGGTCAATTTTGTGATGGCCCCATATATATTTGAGAGAAATGCATTTTCCTTAAGGCTTAGATTGAAAGTTCTGTTTATGTCTATCTACTAGCTTGTTGGGGCCCTGGTGGTGTAGCGGTTAAAGAGCTTGGCTGCTAGCCAAAAGGTCAGTGGTTTGAATCCACTAGCCGCTCCTTGGAAACCCTATGGGGCAGTTCTCTCTGTCCTATAGGGTCGCTATGAGTCAGAACCTCCTCAATGGCAATGGGTAATGGATACTAGCTTGCTAATAGTCAAATCCTTTAAATCCTTACTTATTTTTTTGTCTACTCTATCTGCTGATTTTTTAAAGAGATCCACTTAGTTTTTTTTAAATCATTTTAATTATTCTGTATGGGTTGTATAATTTTTAAATTTGTAAGCCACCTCAAATTCTTTTAGGTTAGGAAGAATCTGGTTTATAAACAAAGAAATAAACCTATGGAGTGCTGTCTTCTGCAAATTTAAGCAAGGATCAGAGGCATTCTTCCCTTCCATCCACAGTTCATAGATCACTTAGTGACCAGGCATGCCCATGTGTATTCTTTCAACAGCACCAGAACGCTACCTAAGGAGCCAATACTGTGCTAGTCAGAAATGTAAGAAGTGGTCAGCAGTAGCTTTTTCCTCCTCTTATATTAAAACTTTGTATACCATGAAAAAATACATATGTTAACACTTAAATACATTCATTAGAACGTATTTAAGGTCATTTATTTTATTTGTTGTTAATGGTATGTATAATCCTTCAATTGGTCTAAAAGTATTCAAGAGTTACTCAATAATATGGTCATTGAAAAAGAGGAAGACCTTCAATGAGATGGATTAACAATGTGCTCAAGCATAACAATGATTGTGAGGATGGTGCAGTACCGAGCAGTATTTTGTTTTGTTGTACATAGGGTCACTATGAGTCAGAAGCAACTCGAAGGCACCTAATGGCAACAGCAACACAACGTAAATAATGTAGTTAAACATCTACCTGCTTTACCTACGTTCAGTCATGAGTAGTGGCCATGGCTTACTGGGTGTAGGCATTCATACATGCCACATATGTATTGTGGGTTTAACTTCTGTGAGAGTAACACTTAGATTTAATTATTGATTTTGAACAAAGATAAGTAATACTATAAACATCAAAAGTGACTACCTCACACCAGTCCATGGATGCATCAGGGTTGTTGCAGAGTTTTCTGTAAAAGCATTTCACATCTTGACTCTTCACTTCTGGACCAAAAAGTTCCTTTACTGCCCCATAAAACTTGTCATAATCAATTGCATCTGCATTGTAACAAAGTACAAGCACGTTGTCATCAAATGGCAAGGACTTCATTGTGTCTTTCAGCTGCTTTTTCTGTTTAACTTTTTTTTTTCTTATTTCAACCTATAAAAACCGGATTCATCAGCATTTTCAAGATCTTTTCTTTGGAAACATAACTAGGCCCTTGGCTAAAATATTACTAAGTGAGAAGAAAATATTTTACTTGGGTGCTTAGTACTGCCTCCATAGATTTTGTTTCAATTATTTTAGGAGTCTTGTTAAAGAATACAAAGATAAGCAAATGAATTACTTCATTCCTATTGTGAAAAGTTCACCAATGAAGAGTCTCTACTAGAGCTCATCTTGGATGGAAGGCAGAAGAACACAAAGAACAATTCTTGATTGGTTCTTTGACACTGTTTTGCTTGGGTCTTGATTTTTCCAAATTTGGTGATTCACTGGGGTAAAACAATTGAGCTGAAGTACAAGAAGGAATTAGACAGAGGATCCCTCAAACTATGTAAACAAGATCATATTCTTTCATTTATTTAACAAAAATGTATTGAGCATCTACTATGTGTTAGAACTAAGCTAGACACTGAACTTGGAATGAAAAACTAGATAGGCAAGCTCCCTGCCCTCAGGGAGCTTATATTCTGGTGAAAGAAACAGAAAATTAAGTAAATAAACAAAGAAATTATTTACAGACTGCCGCTGAGTTTCTGTTAAGGGTGATGAAGAATTTTGTAAACAGTGGTGATGGTGAACACAACATTGTGAATGTAGGTTGATGTCTCTGAATTGTACATGTGAAAGTCATTGAAATGGCAAATGTTTTGTTATATATACCAAACCCACTGTTGTTGAGTCGATTCTGACTCATAGAGACACTATAGGACAGAGTAGAACTGCCCCCATAGGGTTTCCAAGGCTATAAATCTTTACAGAAGCAGACTGCCACATCTTTCTTCCACAGAGCAGCTGGTGGGTTTGAACCACCAACATTTCAGTTAGCAGCCAAGCGTTTTAATCATTGTGCCATGAGGGCTCCTTTTGTTATATATATTTACCACAATAATTTTTTTTTTTAATTTATGGATTGTGACAGGTAGAACTTACTAACAGAGGTAGACATCAGATTAGTCTATGTATAAGGTAAGGACCAGTATTGCTTCAGAAGGGCATGAGGGCACTTTCTGGGATGCTAGAAATGTCCTTTGTCTTGATCTAGTATAGGGTCGCTATGAGTTGGAATTGACTCAATGGCAACAGGTTTGATTTTTTTGTTTTTTAGTTGGTGTCCACAGGGATGTTTACCAATGTCAAAAACAAGAGCTGTAAGGTTGGCGGTTCAAACCCACCCAGTGGCTCTGTGGGAGAAAGATCTGGAGATCTGCTTCCGTAAGATTACAGCCACGAAAACCCTATGCGTCAGTTCTACTCTGTCACATGGGGTCACTATGAGCCAGAATCAACAACATACTTAAGATTAAAGAGCCTTGGTGGTGCAATTGTTCAGTGCTCAGCTACTAACTGAAAGGTCGGTGGTTTGAACCCATCCAGCAGTTCCTCAGGAGAAAGACCTGGCGATCTGTTCCTGTGAAGGATACAGCCTAGAAAAACCTATGGGACAGTTCTACTCTGTCACATGGGGTCACTATGAGTCAAAAATCGACTCAATGGAACTAACAACAACAATACTTAAGATTAGTGCACTTTACGGGCTTTACTGCATGTGTGTTGTATCTCAGTGATAAGTAATTCAAGATTGAGACTAGTTGTGGGATGGAAACACACAGGCAGCTGTGATAGAATTATGTGGTAGTGGGGAGGGAAGGTGGGATCGGGGAAGGCCTCTCTGAGGAGGTGGGTAAAATAAAGCTGAGACTTGATAAGAAAAAGGAGTCAGCCATGTGTAAAAGTACACAAGGGCGTTTCAGGCAGAGGCTGACAAACACAAAGACCCTGAGGCTGGACAGAACATGACATGCCCAGGAAGGTTAGCAAGCATGGAGCTTAGTGAGGGCTGGCACATGCTGTGAGGGGAGATCAGAAGAGGAAGGCTGGGATGGAGTTGGATGTGTTTATTTTTTTCTCAGCATGATGGTAAACATCATTGGAGAGTTTTAAGCCGGAAAATGACAGGATCTAACTTAATTTTTTTTTTAAAAAGCACACTGTGAGGAGGCCAGAGTAAAAGCTGTAAAGCCAGTGAGGGTCTCTTACAGTGTCCAGGTTTCAGGTGACGGAGGCTTGGCCAGGGAGATACTAAGAGCGATTGTGCATCCTGGGCTGCAGTGAAAATCTCATCTATGCCTGCTTTCTCAACTTAACTATTCATAACACCCCCTTTCACTCTAGAAAGTGTCTCCAATTTATGATAAATGATATAGGCACCCTAGAGAGAACGCTGGAGATGCCGAGAAATGGTTGGAAGTAGAACTGCAAAGGATTTGCTGATGGAATGGAAATTGTTGGTGCAGAAGCGGTGATGGACAGAAAGGCAGGAATCTCAACAGTGGTTCCCTCCAGGGGACATTCTACCGCCCAGGGGACATTTGGCAACTGGAAACATTTTTTATTTCCCCAACTACTGGAAGGGTGTGCTCTTGGCATCCAGTGGGTAGAGGCCAGGGATACTGCTAAGCATCCTACAATGCATAGGACATCCTCCCTCCGCCAAACACACACACACGTACCCAACAAACAATTATTCAGCCCAAAATGTCAACAGTGCCGAGGTTGAGAAACCTTGTTCTAGAATGACATGCAGGTTTCTGATTTCAGAATTCAGTGCATGTTGGTACTATTTACTAAAATAGAGGTAACTGGGGAATAGTGACTGCTGGGGAAAATAAAGCATTTAATTTCGGTCATGTTAATTTAAAATTCCTATAAGATATTCAAATAACTACTCAGCAGTTTAAAATCCACACCAAACCAAACCCAGCTTGACTGCTCTGTAATTGTTGATCTTACCGTCTTTTTGGGTAAACAAGCCTAATCTTTCATCCCTTTTCTGGGCCGCTGTATGTTCAACCAATCTTTCAAACCCCTTCAAAGCTGTTCTGAAACTGCTCATCTGAAGGGCAACATTGAAATCTCGCTTTTCCTTACTGATATCCATAAGGACACTGGAAATCTTTTATTTCTGTGCAGAGATAACAGTACAAAATTGCCAACTTGGAAAACCTTCCAGTCATTATAATGCCTCCCTGCTGTCTCAATTTTTGCCCTAGGTCTCATTCCTTTGATCCTAAAATGCCATCCTGTCAGTAGGGGTAAGATTTGCCCCTAGGATGCTAGCAGGGAGGAAAGCTGACTTTGGTCTAATGCATTTCATATAGGCAAGCATTGCAGTAAAAATTCTGACTTCATAATGTTACCACTGTCCTTCATATGGTCCTCATCGCATCATAATGTCTCTGTAACATCCTACTTCCTGCATAAGGAGGGGGCTGAGATTCATTTTCCCACAAACTATGTGTGTGTTTGAGCATGCGTTGCCTGAGAAGTGAGTAAACTGGACATTATTTTCTCTTTCCTACATCCCCTCTCACCTCAAACCTTTTCACCTTCCTCAAGATGCTGTGGAGAGTAAAGTTCACACTCATTCTTGCAGCTGTACTAGATGTGGAAATTTGAACTTCTAAAGATAAAAATTATTTTAGCACGTGTAATTTCTACCACAATGAAGACATTTTGAGAGGTCATAGAGAATAAAAATGTCTCTCCTTTCTTTACGCATTGTCTTTCGATTAAAAGAGCAGACAGCCAGGAATGGAGAAGGCATAGTTTCCTTTTTTTTTAATTGTTGTAATTAACTGAAGTTTACATTTCAAGTTAGTCTCCCATACAGATTTTTTTTTTTACATACATTGTTATGAGATCCCAACCGCTCACCCCATTCCGTGACAGCACATTCCTCCCCACTGCCCCTGATTCCCCATGAACATTCAACCAGCTCCTAACTCTCTCTGCCTTCCTATCTCACCTCTGGACAGAAGCCGCCCCTTTGGTCTCTTGCATCTACTTGTCTAAGAGGCACATTCTTCACAAGTATCACTTTATGTCTCACAGTCAAGTCCAATCCCTGTCGGAAGAGTTGGCCTCGGAAATTGTTTTAGTTCTGGTGTGATGGAGAGACCAGAGGCCATGCTTTCCGAGGCACCTCCAGTCTTAGTCAGACCATTAAGTCTGGTCTTCTTATTAGAATTTGAGTTCTGCATCCCATCGGTCTACTGCTCCATCAGGGACCCTCTGTTGTGTTCCTTCAGGATGTTCATTGGTGGTAGCTGGGCACCATCTAGTTCTTCTGGTCTCAGGCTGATGAAGTCTCTGGTTTATGTGGCCCATTCTGTCTCTT